ACTCACAAGCCTGTGAAAATAATTGTTGGTTTTATTTATTTTATCATCTAATGCTTGGGTTAAAAAAGATGGTGGGGTAAGGATACCAAATTAAGAAAGTAGAGAAAAAGAAGAGGTAGGGGTATATATATGTGTGAGAGAGAGAGAGAGTGCATAACATTTTGGCAATAATCAACATTCATAAGCATTTAACTACTTCAGATATTTAACATGTCTTTCCCTTTCTCAATTTTTATGACATTCAGGCAAATGATCATTTTCTGTGAACACAGCTCAAATTTTGGCTGGATTGGCTATGGTTATGCAGTGGCACTTTTTATTGTAGTCTTTTTGCAAACACTGATCCTTCAGCAATATCAACGTTTTAACACACTCACCTCGGCAAAAATTAAAACAGCTGTAATTGGACAGATCTACAAAAAGGTAAAAAAAATTCAAGGAACTCCCAATTTGTAAATGGACTGCCCCATATGCACTTTAAAATAAGGGGACTAGAAAAATAGGAGAGTGTATTAAAAAGTTCTTAAGGTGTCCTTTGCGTATGCATTTGTTTTACTTTAAAAGAACTTTGACTCAATATTGGTTGCATTAATTTCTCTCTAGGGCTATTTCTCCCCATAGTCCCTACAACTTGTAGTCAGCCCTAATCCATGAAATTAAATGATTATCCTTGTCTCCTGTTATGTCACTTAACTCACCTCCAGAAAGTGGGTGGAATTGAATGTTTTCGTGGTTGTCTATATTATGCATCGATAAAATTTCCTCTTTTCACGATCATTTTCATTCTACATACTACCTTTTTCTTCTCCCTCTGCTCAATCTACCTTATTTTTTTCATACAACAAAGCCATCTTTTTCTATTCAATCATTGTCTGGTTTTCTTTCATTCTAAGCCCTATCCCCTCAACTTGGCTGATCCTTCCTTATTCCTGGCATAATCTTAACACTTACTTTGTCCTTTTTTTGAAAATACAATTTTAAACACCACCTTTTTACCATCCAGAGCTTTTTATTTACATCATAATTATTAACAATTAAAGGTTTTCCTTTCTCCCCTAATTATCAACCAATTATTCAATTAACAGATGCGCTCCCCTGTAAATTGTAGGTTCTTCAAGATTTGGAATGGGAACTTATTTACCTACTATATCCTTATCATCTAAGTCAGGGGCTTTTATAAATTTTTATAAAAGTTGGATGAATGAATGAATGAATGAGCCCTTGCCTTCAAGAAATTGGGGGAAAGTGTTAGCATATGTAATGAATTTGTGGAACTAAATGCAGATTTCATAAAAGATCAGATGTGCAGGAAATCTACAAAGGTTGTGTACAGTTAAGAAAGTTTTCACATAGAAAGGAAGTCTCGAAATGGTCTTTGAGAGAGCTATAGAATTGGTATAAGTGGAAGGAAGTGTTACAATTTAGTCTGAACTGACAGGAAGGATTACAGGCCATTTCACCTTACTGGGCCAAAATGGGGGCATGGAGTGGTTTGAGAGATCTTAGAATGACCCGGGACCAATTGAGCCAGTAAATGGTAATTGAACTTGCAGCAGAGTCATTTATTAATAGCTCTGCAGAGCACAACCCAGTACAAGGTCAGGGTGGCTGACCCAGTCCTAGTTCTAGAGGTAGTGTATGAGGAATCCAAATATGGAGGAAAATCTAGGATTCGGTTTAAATGCTAACACTAGTTTTTGATATACAGTCCATGTGAAACAGGATTTTATTCAGCGAAAAGAGCATTGGAGTTTGGGTGTGAGATGTGGGTAGATTTACAAGCATAAAAGAGTAAACTTCCATACAAGACTGAATGCACAAAAGTGTGAATTTAGAATCATAAAAGGTGGAGCACAGAGGATTTTTAGGGCTATGAAACTACTCTGTATGATACTGTAGTAGTGAATATATGTCATTCATTATACACTAGTCCAAACACACACAATGTACAACACCAAGAGTGGACCTGAATGTAAACTATGGACTTTGGATGATAACCGTGTGTCAGTGTCAGTTTGTCAGTTGTAGCAAATGGACCACTCTGTGGAGATGTTGATAACGGAGGAGTCTGTGCATAATTGATGCAGGGAATATACGGGAACTCTCTGTATCTTTCTTTCAGTTTTGCTGTGAACATAAAACTGCTCTAAAAATACAGTCTTTTGTGGGGGCAGAAAGGTGTAACACCTTTCCTTGTCTATCATAAGGGTCACTCCTATAACAAAAGACAAGTTAAGGCTGGGCACGGTGGCTCACGCCTGTAATCCTAGCACTCTGGGAGGCCGAGGCCGGTGGATTGTTTGAGCTCAGGAGTTCGAGACCAGCCTGAGCAAGAGCGAGACTCTGTCTCTACTAAAAATACAAAGAAATTAGGTGGACAACTAAAAATATATAGAAAAAATTAGCCAGGCATGGTGGTGAATGCCTGTAGTCCCAGCTACTCGGAAGGCTGAGGCAGGAGGATCACTTGAGCCCAGGAGTTTGAGGTTGCTGTGAGCTAGGCTGACGCCACGGCACTCTAGTCCGGGCAACAGAGTGAGACCCTGTCTTGAAAAAAAAAAAAAAAAAGACAAGTTAACAAAAGAAAGTATAACAAATTTATTTACTCAAAGTTTTACATGATATGGGAGTCTTCAGAAATAAAGACTCAAAGACCCTGGCAAAACTGTCCATTTTTATGCTTAGGTTTGATGAAAAATGGACAGCCTTGTAGAAATGTGAATCCTGACACATTTCTTGGTACACAAAGAAATTGAAGAATGTATTTTTATAAATGTTATGTGACCCCACCTTCAGGCCCACCCTGTCTTGCACTTCTGGTTGAAAATCATTGGGATATGAATTTTAGGGCCCTTCCAGCTCTATATGAAGTGATGTGTATGACTTCCAGCTGGATGGTCAGAAAAGTTTCATGGTTAATATCGCATGATGTGGGTCTGAAGGATGACTTGCATGAGGTAAAGGCTCTGCTGTTGGAATACTATGGAAGAAAAAAGTACAGGAATTAGTACAAAACCTGCTCAGTTAAGGGGGGTAGATTAATTTGACTAGAAACAATGTTTCATGTACAGGATAGTGGGGAGAGATAGTAAAGACAGAAGAGATCGCTTTTTAAAATCTTTTAGGAAAAGAACCTTCAAAGACATATTGTAAAAATGTACTTTAATTCTATAAGAAATTGGGATCCAGTTGAGCCATAAGGTGGATGATCAGGACAAAAGGATTGAAAACACGTGGAGCTGGAAAGAAGGCAAACCTTACAGCTGTTGCAGTAGTTCGGGAAATAAAGATATGAGCGAGCACAACGGCAGTGAGTCTAGAAATAAACACATAGTCATGAGAGAGAATGTGAAATTGTGAGATAAATTTTATCATCAGATGATAAAATGAAATAATAGTGTATTGAACTCAGTGATAATCAAGGTATTTCCAGTAAGTAGGAGGAGTGTGTGAGGCTCGGAACTCTATCTGGTTCATCTGGATCTTCTTAGAGCATAATTGAATAAGTGAAACAAATTAAGTTTCGAAAATACATGAGTCACATCGTGATGCTTGTGTGAGTGTGTGTGCAGACTAGAATTTACATGATATGAAAATACTGTGGAAAAGGAATCTAAAACTTGGATAGAACTTTGAGTTTCTTAGAAAAAGTGATCGTGATAATGATATATCTTGGCTAATTTTTATTTTGATTGAAGAGTATTTAGAAACTCCCAAACTTTTTACATTGTTTGAGATTTTAAAAGTGGGTCTTTTCTTTTTATCTGAGTCACATTTTCTCTCTTTTATCAGATTGAAATACTTTCTACCAGACAATTCTGGAAATGTTGCACCATCCACTGTAATCGTGGTGCCTATTGCAATATTCTTTCAAATTGTTTTGTATAACAAAAGGCAGTTTAAATTGTATAATTTAGCAATAAATGGTAACTATGTTGCCCTTCTTAGCTTGTGAATTTTGTCTTTTATGAAAATGTAAAGGTTTATTTGGCAGAAAAAAATATTGAAAGAAAAATCAGTTTTCCTAATGTTAGAAATGGCATGTAAACAACATTCAATTATAGAATGACTTTTAGTCTTCTGTGATATTCTGAAAGTAACATTTTTTTTCTTTTAGTATTGTCAGAACACTTAACATGAGATCTATCATCTTAACACATTATAAGGGTAAAATACAATATTGTTTATTATAGTAAAATATACAGCAGATCTCTACACCTTATTCATTTTCTGTGGTTAATTGAAACTTTGTACCTGTTGACTAATAACTCCCCAATTTTCTCCCCCCCTCAACCCCTAGTAACCACCATTCCATCTTTGACTTTATGAATTTGACCGTTTTAGATACCTCATTTAAAATACCTCATTCCAAATACTCCTGCAGTATTTGTCTTTTTGTGTCTGGCTTATTTAACATAGCAGAATGCCCTTAAGGTTTATTGATGTCACATATTGCAGAATTTCCTTCTTTCTTAAGGCTGAGTAGTCGTTTCTTCAAAGAAGACATAAAAGAGCCAACAAGTACATGAAAAAATGCTCGTCATCACCAATCATCATGCAACTATAAATCAAAACCATGAGATATTATCTCACACCTGTCGGGATGGTATTATCAAAAAACCAAAGAACAAGTCTTGACAAGAATGTGGAGAAACCAGAACCTTTTTGCACACTGTTGGTAGGAATATAAAATGGTACGGCCACTATGGAAAACAATATGGAGGTTCCTCAAAAAATTAAAAATAGAACTACTATATGATCCAGCAATTCCACTTCTGGGTATATATACAAAAGAATTAAAATCAGGATCTGGAAGAGATATCTGTGCAGGGAGTTAGCTACGCTCCCAGCAAAAAATCGGGTGCCTCTGGCAGGGGTCATCACAAAGAATAAGAAAATAATAGAAAATGGAAAATAATAGAAATAAAAGAATACACAGAGACAAAGGTATAATTTTGTAGATTTATAAAGATAAAAGGCAAAGCAGGAGTACTCAAGGGTCCTTATGAATATTTCAGTGAATTGTAAGGCCACGAATGAAGGTTTTCATGGGTATTTATAGGTATAGTGATCAGCTGCCAGGGGTAACAGATTTACATAATAACAGCTAGTTCATTTTAGGTTAAAAGTATTTCAAAAGGCTTCTTTAGATCCCTTAACTAACTCTATCTACATGAACAGTGGTTACAAAATCTTTCAAAGACAAAATTCTAAATTCTAAGGTAAATTTATTGCTTAACAGAAGTGTTAAACAGAGATATAGTGGCTCCATATTTCTTTATCTAACAGAGATACAGTGGCTCCATATTTCTTTATCTAGTTATTGTGGATTGAGACAGGTAGTCAGGAGTTTAAGCAGGAACTGTCCCTTGGGCTAATTGCTTTTAGCCACAGGTGTCTGTTGGACAGGCATTCTTTAAACA